TAAACAAGGCAAGCGGAGGAGTCAGGAAGGATTTTACTGGGTAAACATCTTCGCTGGAATCTCACAAAACCCAGAACACCAGCTCTATCGCGGAGATCAGCCCATGTACAATTGGATGTGATGTAGTTGTGCTAAAACCCTTAAAATCTCTAGCAGAAATTAGCATGCATTCTGTGACATAAAACCGCAAAGCACCGAGAAGTTGGCTTATCGGCGACACAATTACAGACAGGACAGACAAAGTACATAAGTAACATTAAAATATTCGTAGACATCTTCGAAAATTAAGTTATAAACTGGCCTACGTGCCATTTCTATTTTATTATTTTTCGGTCGACCGACAACAACAATTCTTTACACAGTGAGGTTAGATCAAGTCTTTAAACGCCGTTTAAAGCTATAAACGCCCAAAATCGGCCAGTTCATTTCTTTAAACGCGTTTAAGCACAAACCAAGTTTAAGGTTCTGGTGAAATCCGTTTCGCGCGTCAAACTGAGTTTCAGACGTTAAACTGGTTTAAGATCGCTTGATAAAAATGGGCCTTATTGAAACTAGCCGAAGTAAACCTGCCGACAGCCCAAAAAGCTACTGGACAATCGCTCTACTGTCCGTATCATATACTACTGGGGAGACTTGTCCACAATAGAATGAGCTCAGAGATCCTAGAGTCAATAATAGCTGAACAGGCGGGCTTTCGGCCAAAACGAAGCTGCGCAAACCAGATCCTCTCACTTACCTCAGCTGTATTCATCGACCTCTCGGCAGAATATGACACCGCATGGAAGGAGGGAATGTTCTGCGAGCTTCTCAGAAGTATAGCCTGCAAACGATATCAAACATGCTTGGTGATCGGATGTTTCAAGTTACAATGGGCACCGACACATCGGCTCACCAAAGCAACTTAACAACGGCTTGCCACAGGGATCAGTGCTCGCTCCGCTTCTCTTCAGTCTATATATTGCGAATGTGTCGGAAACAAGGTCAACTAAGTTCGGTTACGCCGACAATTGGGTGCTTACAACCAGATGTAACTCAATTAAACTATCTGAGGAAATCCTAACAACAGACCTGGAGACAATGGGTGGATACTTCCGCACAGAGTATCACCAGTATAATGAGTATACACGAGAGTACAAAAAGATCGTGGGGAACGGAAATCTGCCAATACACCAAAATATTGAGGACTCTAACCACAATCGCCGCCGCTCCAGAAATCGACCGACTAAAACGGCAGGTGCAGAAATGCAAGAGGAGTTCAATCTGACCAATACATGGACTTATGAATAACGCAGAACCTGGTCCACACTTAACATAATTAGAGCGCAAAATGGCAGATGCGCAGGCCTCCTGCGCAAATGGGGCAAACAAACACCATCCTACTGCGACTGCGGAAAATACCATCACGGATGAATACGCCACAAGATCCTACAACGGCAGACCTGAAGACTTCCTGCTGGCAACCGCCGGGTCTATAGATTACATTAATCGACTTGATATTTGTTTGTGAAATCCTAAAGATTGTTCTATTAACTTATATGTATAAATTAGCATTTAACTTTACTGTGTCTAAATTGCCATACGATAAATAAATAAATAAATAAGATGGTGTAGTAAGCATAATATTTACCAAGCTTTTCTTTAGTCTCTTATTAAAGTGATTCATCTTTCATAGACTAATGTTTCAACATGACGCAAAATTATTTGTCGTTCATGTTTTCAAAATATCTCGACTTCTTTGATTCAAACGAACGCCAAACACAAAGAAATAAATCGATCTGGCTGAAACTTGGTCTGCGTTCTTCCAAGAGTTGCTAGTCACCAGTAGTGCTCTCCCTCTGACTTTGCACGAAATTTTCAAACCACCTTAGTATTTAAATATAACGATAACTGCTAACTATATAAACTATGATAGTTAATACTTTATTTTAAGTACCTAATTAAGTTAAGCTGTAGAACTAGAATAGGTATTCACTCAAGAAGAATTACTTCAAATGTCTGCGTTTACCGCCTCGCTGCATCCTTATGAAAACAATAGACTTCTCTACTGCTTAGCAATGTTGCAACGGATGCAATGTCGCAGAATAAAAGTTTTACTTGTTGCAAATMAAAGGGTCGCGTTTTTTATATGCCATTAGTTTATGAAAAAACAAATCATTAATTARCGTGCACACCGTGACTTCTTAGATCCCAAGATAATTTTTTATAAGATATCGTAAATACCGGATTCATCAGATGCAACACGAGAACAGGGAACACCAGATGCTTAAGAATTGAATATTATTTTACTTACAGTCTGTAAAACCGTTAGATACAAGTTTGTAAGTACATAAATAAACAGACATCACAATAAAAGTTTAAAGTAATAATACTTAAATTAAGCCAATAAATAACAAATAAACCAGATAATCAATGTTCAAAAAAAATAGAGAACACGAAAATTAAAGTCATGTAAAATATGCCATTCGCCAAATTATTGTAGATATGTAAACTCCATTAGATTTAATTCTAAACGGGAGAGTTGCCGATAAATTTACCATTGGATCGGTCAATAATTAATAGCGACGATTGCGTTCAAAATTATGCAGTCCTGAAAATAACCGATTTGTTACTGCATCTTGTTACTTTGGTAAATACTTTTTGTTAATTCGAAA